ATACGTATTTAATACCGCAGTTCAAAATATATGAACTTCATATATACATTGTACCCCACTAATATATTTCCATATGACCGATAAACACGCATTTACAGTCACACAAATAACACACCGGTCCATTCGCGTGAAAAAGACCTCTAGATACATGGACTTTACTCCCAAGTCATGCCTACTTTTCTTCATGTTCCCGGTTGCCGGCGGAGGTAAGTGTTGACGAAAACTCACTAATTCTAGTTTGGACTCGCAGGGTTCATTTCCTCTTTTGCTTAGACCATATTCATTTCACTCGATATAATGTAATTGTCAGCATTGATCATCCTATATAATACTGTTTTGTTTGTCTCATAAATTGTCTTTTTTCCTCCAGGCAGTAATTATTATTCATTGCCAAAACGATTCGTCATATCTTTTATAAAGATAACATCCGATGGCTATGTATTTTGCCAAAGAGAATCTGATACTTTTGATAGTGGGCTAGGGCGACCTCATCGTCCCAAGATTTTGCGGTCGATGTAAGCGATTTTTTTTGTGCCATGCCCTTAAGCAACGCCAAACGCGATATTGCGTCCTGAATATATAGCACCGACTGCAATGTACAAACCAGCGAGAATACACGGTCCAGGGTAAAAAATATGGACTACAACTTACTGGCTTCGCATTTCATCGTCCAAATAAAGTAATGTCCGATAGCCCGGACCTAGTTGATGTTGCAGACCGTCACTCGACCGATGGACAAGAAGATCTTTTGGGGAAAAGTTCATTTTGTAGAATTACCTCAATTATGAAGCATATAATTTTTTTTCAATCTGTTAGATTTAAATTGATAGGAATTCGTTTTTTCAAGTCAATCTTACAAAGTGAAATGAAACGAGTATCGTAGTAATTTGTATAGAGTTAATTGCGTACAAGCGTTTTGCATGAAGAGTAATCAGAAGGGAAATTCCAAATATAAAATGGCAAAACAACGGTACGTTTTTCACTGTTTATTAAACCACAAATCGCATAACTTTTCCGACCACAGTACTGATGCGTGACATGGCACTATCAGCTTTTGCGTGGATTTGAGACTCTACCAAACTAATGTTCCTCAGAAAACTAAATATTTTCTTTGTTCCTCCCGGTTATAAGCCCTTTACCCATAACTGGCATGATCTTTGCTGAAATAATTTGCTGCATCACAAAAGTGTCAAACACGTGTAGATTCGAGACGGTATCTTTAGATGGGGGGATTTTTAGAAATTTATACGTCACCTTAATCGGCTTTCAATAACTAGCAACCATTATTTCCATTAGATCAAATTTGTTCATAGTCGAGGTTTGATTTTATTCTGTTAATTTTGACTGTTCGTGAAGGCTTTTCATCTTGCTATTGGCAGAGGAACAATAGGTCAAACCTCCTAACCCCCCCCCCTCCATTTTACTGAGTCATTATTCTTTTCCGTTGACCTGGCCTTAAAACCTGAAGGCAATAATGGAGTTTAATTCACGCACACCGTAGTGTTTAATTAACATTTCCATTCACTCTCGTGGTTGATATAACTTATTGTCATGTATTACTTAAGAACTACACACCCCAAACAATATGGCGGTTCGGTAAGTAAAAGACTGTTTAATAATGCGTCATGCGTGCGCATGAGCAAACCATATATGGTAGCACACAACATACAACACACTGGAAAGCCATAACACTTATGAAAATATGAAGCGAAGATGAAAGGGTTCCCCTCGGAGGCTAACTGTTGATATAGAGCTCCAAATTGGACCTTTGGAATTCCTTTCTCGGGACATTCTTATAAACTTTGAGGCTTTAACCTTGGACAAACAAGGAAAATTTAGACCTACATAGTCTTCAAAGGGAGTTCTCCTTACTAAAAGGTCTTTGTTGTTTCCTTTCAGCGTCAGCAACAACCGGAATAAAAAATTATACTATTCTTGGTAGGTACGATTTAGAAGATACAAGCTGCACAATTATAAGTTGGCGTCTCTAAGGGACTGCGCTTGTTTGCCGAGGGGACTCCTGGATTGACCCAATATACTCTTCATTGGCAAATGATTTGGATGAAGAGCCTCCCTTGTGACTTGTGAAGTTGATGACAAGGCAGTTAGGTCTTGCAAGAAACGTAATAACTTTCACACCTCGGTTCCAGAATAAATACAAAACTTGGGCTCCCAGAAAGGTTATAAACTAAATGATTTCGCACCATATCTGAGCTTACGCTTTGATGTTTTGATGCTGCAGTACCATAGGGGGAGGGGTGATCCATAGATTCTCCCTCCTCTTCCGATACCCTGTGCAAGCAATGGTTACACGGTCGCTGTTTATTTTGATTTCCTGAACAGCTAGTCTGGGCGAGACGGTGGTACCTCCACTACTGAATATCTCCCGCCACAGACATGCGGACTACCTCATGCTGACGACTTCAAAGTATCATGTAAGAATACAGAAACTAACCTCCGACCGCTGGACGCAGTCCTGCTTCAAAGAAACCGAATGGTATCAAAGATGTCAGTCATGGGTAAATATGACTTACCTTGGCAACGATATGGTCGCTGTTGAGATAACTGCCGGGAACGAGTCCATGAGTGGAGTATTCAGGGTGTATCTCCATTGCACTGGTGCTTCCAAGACTTGCAGCTCGGATCCGCTGATGGAAGTTACCCTTATTATCAGAGATAAAGGTAAATTACATGTTTCATTGTATTCTTAGAATGTGTCATGGTGCATGCTGTCACGTACTTTTCGGAAAACTCAACCTAAAGGAAATTTACCCTACCTGGTCCTCTAAAGTTTCGAGATAATTCATTTTGTCACACGTTAATAATAAGGATAATGATAATGGTATATCTACAGTATCTCCACCAAATGCAGATGGCTCTTCACCTGTATGGTGGCCGACAACTGCCATTAAAAATATTCAAATTTATATATCTTATTAGACGTTTTGTTGTGTAGTATCGC